TGGGCTAGATCGGACAACCTGTGTGGACAGTCAACATTATGCACATTATCTCATTGTAAAGGGGCCATAGGTGAGTTCTATCGCAGAGATGAATTCTGTTGTTTGCTTGATTCTTTCCTGCTTTCCAGGACCCTGGAGATGAGCCAGATTTGGCAAAATGAGCTAGTGAACAAAAAGATCTCCATGCATTCTGAGTATTAAGAGAGTTTTTCAAGGTTAGGGTTAGGGTCAAAGTTAGAAATGCTGGATGGCCATTGATTTCCATGACCTGGAGGTGGTCTGACCAAGAGAACTGAATGAGCTGTCAACAAGAAAGCACCAAGAGCTGCCCCTGCACATGGTCTCTGACTGTCAAGGGATTGCACCTGTGTGATGCCTTGCAGTTAAGTTCCCAGTCAGATTTCAGGAGACTTTGGACATGTTCTAAGTCCTTGGAACAGCCTGGATGAAGCCTATTTTTGAGTCATCAACACATACACTTTCTTTGCTGCTTTTGCACCTGTTTTCTGAATGCATTGGGGTTACATCTGGGTGCTTGCTCTGGAGTCAAGTTTCATGTCTGATCTAGGCTTAGGAAATCTGCATCCCTGTCTATGCTGAGGCACATGGGATTTGCCTGGTTTATAGGGACAGCAGAAAACAGATGAGATGTTTGCAGTCGTGTGGAAAGACAAAGAATCTGCAGCAGAACTGCAAAATAAATTTCTTGATAGAACAGCTAGGGCCTGTCCTTTGAGTCAGTACCCCCACCCCCAGAGCATGAGTTAGCTCTCCCGTCTGATCCTCAGCATGCGACAGTTCAGTTTTGCAACTATTGCACCATAGTGGCAATTGAAGAGCAGAATGTTGCAATCCCGCGAAAGGAGTGCGCGCGCGCAAGGGCTGTGCGCATGTGTGAATTGTTACGCACAGAATCAACCTAGCACCTCGGACAAAAGGGCAAGCCCCGCCTCCCGAGCCTTAGGCCCTCCCCCGTGGAAAGCTTGCCAGTTTCATCGGATCTGATCGAAGTTGCCCTCCTTGCCTCGCCGCCCCGCCCTCTTTCGCTCCGCTCTGTGCCCTCTGCAAGGCATCCACACAATGAGGAAGTAGCGCATCTTTTGCGCCGTGGCTGCAAGATGTTTTTACTTTCGCTTTTCGCTTTCTGGCTCCCGGGCGCTGAAAGACCTGCGAGGGCTGGCCTGGGACAGGTACGGAAGAGCGGGGCCGGCGACGGGGGGAGAGGGGCATCGCCTGCTCGGGGCGTCCCTCTGGCATGGGAGAAGGCGCTCCTTTAGCCCTGCATCGCCGTGCTCAACTAAGCCTGGCAAAAAGGGCAACGACGCCGCACGCTCCTGTGGTTTGCCCGCCTGTCCGTTGCAGGACACCTCGCAGGCTTGGCAAACTCGAAGAGTTTCGTAGATCGGGGTGGGTTGGGCACATTTGGACAGCTACAGCGTTGAGGGAAAGAGGGACCACAAAGATCGGAGAGGAGGGGAAATTTACTTTGCCACAAAGCCTCCATAAAAGTGAATTTTGACGGGTTGAAGAAATTCCTGGAAGGCGCACCGAAGTAAGCAACACAAAGAGGATTTTTGGAAAGCGTTTCAGGGTTCTTGTTCTTCCAAAGCAACTCTAAGAAAGATCGATGCAGTAAGATCCAGTGGCCATGCTGTCTCGGGGATAAACCTTACTGTATCCGGTAGGACTTATTCCCTAGTAAGTTTGCATAGGATGGCAGGTGAGCAGAAACATATCTACATATATGTTGTTGGCAAATGGTTGTTTTCAACCTCAGCTGCCTTTCTAACCTTTCAGCTGAAGGGCCCCATAAAACCCAGCACTTAAAGTAGAAAAGACCTTAAGGAGAGGTGAGTGGCTCTTCCTAGGTCACTAGACATTGTCCATCAGCTCCTGGCTTTGGAAATTCCACCTGGGGAATCTGGGAAGTGGCTGGTGGCTCTGTAATATGAGAGAAGGCACTTTTGGTATGGGTCATAGATGCCACAGGTTGGATCCAGGGGTCTGTTGCTCTTTATTCCCATTGAGACTGATGCACACTGCTGGTTCAGCTTTTATGACCCATTGAAATCATTGAGACTAAAGCAGAAACATCTTCCTCTGGATCCTACTCAACATTATAGCTGTCCCTTCATATGTTCTAGGCAGGGATTAGACACCTGCAGTCCACAGACAGATACAACCCATGTGGTTGCCCATGCAGCCCACCAGCTTTTTCCCCAGACCTTGCACCTGTTTTCTACCTGGGAAAGGTTCTTTAGGACTTTGCATCTGTGCATAAGTTATGGGCCTTTATGGAATCTTCAGCTCAAATTAAGCCTGGGACTCTGAAGGAAACAGAAGTGCTGACACCATGTTTCCAAACTCTGAAATTGGAGCACATCGCCTCCAGGGAAAAATCCCTATTCTGACTCAGCAGCTTTCATTTCTTCACGTAAGAGAGCTGACTCTGGCGTTCCATGGTGAGATCAAGGCTGCAGCTGGTGTTGCAAGTACCATATTTCAGCTCTGTCCTTTTTTGAGCCCTTGTCTGAGCTGGAGCTGATGCTCCACATTTTCCTATGGCTATCTCAATTGAAATATGTCCTGGGATCTGTAGGACTTCTTATGCCTGAACTGCAGGGATTCTTGTGTCTATGGATTGCAGCTGAAAGGGCTCCAGGAAAGCCATGGTCTCAGTCTCCGAGTGCAGGTGTCTCCTGCCCATGTCCAAAGCATTTGAACTTGGCATAGCTGTGGGCACATGCACAGTAGCTCAGTTCTGCACATGCTTGCTTTTGCCAAGGGCAATCTATGCCCTCCATCAGAAGAAATGAGGCAGCTACTGCATAGGTGATCCTTACTGGGACCCCAAGTTTACTTTCAGAGGCCCTTGTCTGGGTGCCCCACCAAGATAAATGAATGAGGCAGGAAGCTACTACAAAAGGGGACTTTGTGTTTAAACCTCAGCTATGAAATACGCACTCCCCAGAGAAGCTTGCCTAGCACCTGCACTATCATCCTTTGGACACCAGGTGGATTTTTCCCAGGCTTCTAGGTCCATCTTGCTTTGGTTTTCACTCTTGCTTTCAAACAGGTGCCTGGTTTTCAGATCTTTACACTGCTGCTGGCACTGGTTCTGTTAAAATGATGATGATGATGATGATGATGATGATGATACCCTTTTGTTTTATTTGGCTTTAAACATTTTATACTTTATTGTTTTACTGTTTTGTATTTTGGGGGCTCAGCTTCTGTGAACCACCCAGAGAATTTTAGCTATTAGACAGTACAGAATAGTAATGAATGAATAATAAAAAGGAGTTATCTCATACTCACTTCCCCATCATACCTCTAAACTGTAACTTGGTCAATCCTAGTCTTGCACCAAGCAAACCATATTCTCACCAAAAGACAAAGAAAAAAAAAAAAACGTTCCTATCTCAGCCATCTCTCCTTTGCCTCTGACATAGTTTCTCCTCATTTCTTTTTAATGCAAAGGCTCACCTAACTATTTCAATAGTTCAAGGGCATTTCAGGCAATTCCTCTATCTGGGTCATTCCAGCCAAAGCCAGCAAAGGCTCCCCCTCTTTTTTTTGGTTCTTATATATTTTTATTTTTATTTTTGATGCTGTTTCCCAATGTCAAAAAAGTGTTTCTCTTCTGCTTATGCTGCCGTGTCCTTGTGTAACCTTCTTGGTGCTTTTGGTGCAAGGGAAAGAAATACATCCAGGACCTCGGAGGCTTTTTTATACAGAGGCAAACCTTTGTTCCTTCTAGCCCTGTATTGTCAGCACTGACTGGCAGCAACTTTCTGGGTTTTTTCCAGGCCTACCTGAGTACTGGGGATGGAACCTGTCTCCAGGATGGTTGCAAAGCATCAAGTGCTGTTTGTCTCCAGCATGTAGTACTTAGGGGCACATCATGATGAATGTAGTAACCAGAGTTTGCTCTTTTGCCTGCTTCCTGCTTCTCCAGGCTTCAGTCAATGCTTTCCCGGGAGTATGTCCCAATGGCTACTGATACCTCCAAAAGCATACTGAAGTAAGGATCAGGAAGCAAGGTTGGAAGATTACTGGGCATGATTTCTGGACAGCCATGGTGGAACCTTATCTTTTAGCAAGTAACATTCTGCTGGCTCCTCCCACTTCATCACATCAATTTCTGTAAGGCTGAAAGCAAACTAATAAGATCTGGAAGTGATTTGGGTTGTGAGGTATAGAGGTCAACTTCTTCAGTTAAAAAAACGGATCTTTGGAGCAGGGGGAATCCCATCCCCCTTGTCCCAGTTTCTTATGCCCCAAGAGAGAATGAGAAGAACAAAGAAAAAGTTGTGCCAAAACAGTTTGTCTCTGGGGGTGGGGGAAAGGCAACTGGCAAACGGTTAGAGGAGCAGTTCTAATGGTGCTCTCACTTCTCCATTTCAGTATAAGCCTGTTTTGGTCAGATTGGCTAATGATGCCTGATGCGATAACCATTGGAAAGCAGGGGCAGCTTTTTGCTGGAGTAAAGCCTTGAAGGGATTTCAGCCAGATGTGATCAGGCTTAGAGTAAGTCAATGGTGTTTAAATGGGTCATGACTCACCCAAGTGCCACTGATTTCAAGGGGTCTTCTCTAAGTATGACTAAATCCAGATCTGAGTCTTGAGGCCTAAGGCTGCTGTCCTGTCATTCTTACCACATTGTAATTCCCATAAGAGCTCAGCAGGACTTATTCTGAATAATGATGCAGAATATTGCCCTGTAAATAACCATCATATCTATAATACAGCTTCTAAGAACTCTGTATGATGCAGCAATGAATTACATAAAATATTTTTCTACAATTGTAGAAAAGTGCATAATTGTAGAAAATAGTTTCTAACCCACTGGCAGAAGATTAAACCTGACTGGTAAACCATTCCCCCTTATCATCATCTCAGACTGCTACAGACAACTCACTCATTTATTTATTCATGACCTGTGTAGCCCATTCATGACCTGTGTAGCCCATCAAGTCAGCCCATTGTATTCTCACAACAACCCTGTGAGGTAGGCCAAGCTAGGAAATTGTTCTTGTATATGCTCGCCTTGCAGTCCAGCCTTTTGAACATGGTGGGGTTTCCATCTGCATAAATGTGCAGAGCTGTATGCAGTGCTTGGGGAATATTTGAACCCAGATCTTTCTGTCCCTAGTCTTGCATTTGCACTTGGGGAAAATCTGTCTCTGCCTGTTCATCAAGAGCATTGTGCAAGACCAACCACCAAAAGCCATACAACATTAATTGTAGAATTGCGATTGTGATTAATTGTGATTGTGGAATATGCTCCCCAGAGAGGTTCCCCTAGCACCAACACTTTTTTCTTTTTGGCACCAGGCAAAAACCTTTTTCTTCTTCCATTATTTTAATGTTTAATTGGTTTTAATTGTGATTTTATTGTGAATTGCTGGATGCTGTGCCATTTTTATCTGTGCTTGTTGTAAACCATCCCGAGATGCTAGTAATGGGACAGTCTATAAAAGCTTTAAATAAATAAAGGAGCAGGAAGAACGATTTCAACCCCACTACTCTGCTCAGCCACCCAGTCCCATGATTCTCTCCACCGTATTGCATCCAGTTGTCTAAGACTGAAAGCAAAACTGAAATAAAAAGAGAAAGATGTTTCAGTCACACAGATGATTAAGTGTTGATTGTGAAATTCTGGAGTTAAAAAGAGAGAACTCTTGGGTGTGGGTGGGCGCACCCATCACCCACAAGCACCCTCCCCTCTATCACACACACACACACACACACACAGACAGTTTCTCATGTCCTGAAACTGCAGAGTGGGAGTGTGAAAGGATGAAAAGAAAGAACCATTCTGGCTATGGCTTCATATCTGTATGACCCGTATTGATGCATGGACCACCCAGAGATTTTCATCACAATCTAGCATGGCAGATCCCCAGATGGGTGAAGGGAGTTCTTGTAGCCTCGAGTGATGCTTATTCCAGCCTT